AACCTCAAAGAGAACTTCCAAATTCATTTGTATGTTGTAATTTGTAAATCAGCCAGGTTATTATGCAGTTAAACTTTGAAGAAAAATAAGCCCAGACAGCTTGTATGCAACCTAATTTCTTTTCTTTTTCTTTTCTTTTTTTTTTTTTTGGGTACAAGTATGCAACCTAATTTCAGTTAAAGCATGATCTGTGTATTATATTCTTAAAAGGTGAGTGAAAACAAAGAAATGAATGAAAAATTTTAGACAGAAAAATACACACTTTTCCAGCACATCAACAATATTTGAATTTTCCATAAAAGGGGATGAGATCAACAATACTTAAGGAAATCTTGATCCTTGATTTTTTTTTTTATAGCACCAAGAAATTTTAGTTTACCTCATGAGTTTCTGCTTGAACAGGGATATATATTATTGGCAATAAGTTTAAGGAAACTGAAATATCAGGAAGTACAATTTAAATTAGTTTTTACCTACACTATTAATCACCTGTTACCTGACAGTACCCTACTGAGGGGTTATGCCGAGCATATGCAAGGAGTAGGCGCCTCAAGGAATTCCTGCCATTTTCATCCAGAGCAGGATGACCAGGGAAAGTTCTTGGTACATCCTGTAAATGGAAAGCATGATTTAGTCTAAGGAGGGAGCCAGCTTACAAGATAAAGCCAAAGAAGCAGCACCTACAAATCAAAATAAAGTCCAAGGCACGTGCAGCTTATGACCTTCTCTATTTGCTTTCTCCATTTCCCAAATGCACCAGACAGGTTGTCCTGCTCCTTGCTTTCACCACCATGTATTTCTTCAGCCAACAGAGTCTCGTAGTAGCATTCCACTCGACGCGTCTTCACACCTACAAAGGCTTGCCAGACCTGTAATAAGTAAAACAATATTGTAGCAAAGGCTGCATTTTTCCTCTCACTAAGTACAAAGTTAAATGAATTGAGGAACAAGAAAGCATCAATTATACCTCTCCTCTAATATCCTTTGGCACTCCTCCTTGAACAAGGAACTGAAGTTCTTTCCATGGAAAGAAAACCTCAGATGAGTCTTGGTCCACAAAAGTATTATCATTCCTTGACGCATTAGTATTGTTGTCTAGAGTCTCGTTGATGCAGTCATCATCCCCACAGTTTTGCTTAGAAACCCCTTTGACAGATTCAGATTCTTTGATTGATGGAAGATTGTTGTTATTACTGTTTATCTGCTGACCTTTCATAATATTTCTCTTCTTGATGCGAGAACTCATAATTTTCTCAATGTCAATGAGAGATGGCCTAATTTCAGCCCAGATTCCAAGTTTAACTGTCTTTCTTTCTTCTGAAGGGCGGACCACCTTATCAGAACTACTTCCTGTTACACTTGAATCATCTCCTCCACTTAGCCTCTCTAGTCTTTTCTCCTCTTTAACCGCAGTTTCTTCAACAGAATTGCTACAATCTGAACCACCTTTACTAGCCCCCCCAGGATATATATATTCTTTTCTCTCATTGCCTTCAGCGGACTCTTTGCCACTTAAATCGTTTTCTTCACTAATCCTGTCAGCGCCTTCTCTTCTCCCAACTCAGAAGAATATGGTTGAGATGATTTAGATATCTGTTCAAGGAAGTTTCTCCATTTATCAGATCTTTCACCCTCCTCTTCCTGATGTCATAAATATATTGGTTCAGCGTAATAATTAATTGGCTTTGTGCTGCTTATGGGTAAAAACAGTCCTCAAAGTTGCAAAGGTCACACTTTATTAAGGCCCTGTCTTTTGCCAATTAATCAGGTTATAGTACATTCTTCTATACTTTTTGATGTGACTCTTCAATGACTTCTTCGGAAAATAAGTTGAAAAAACAAGAAATATGGAGGAATTCAGTGATTTTAAGGACAAGGAGCTTGTCTGCATTTTTGTCTCTATTCATGCAACGGTATGCAACCCCCCCCCCCCCAAAAAAAAGAAAAAAAGAAAAAAAAACAGAATCAGTTTTTCAAAGAAACTACATGACGCTAGCCACTTGAACAAGTAGACAATGCATGTCCTGAGTAGCTGTTGTCTCCTTGTTGCTGCATCTGTGACCTTCATTAATCGTCGGTCATGGAAAAAATAGTCATTATTTTTATGGATTTAGAGTGAGACAATTTAATTATGTTAATCGTAAGCAGAAAACTATGTTTTCTCCAACAAAATGCGCTGGAATATCAAATATGCCTGATCACAGAATGTAACAAATTTTCTAAATGTAAGTGCACGTACTGGTGTATGCGGTTAAAAAAAAAAAATTAAACTGAAGTAGCGGAACCCAAAAAAAAAAAGTAATAAAAACCTTGTAGATAGAAGCATATTCCCTGTACGTTTGTGCGTGTTGTGGTCTTACTGCAAAGCCAAAGGAATCCCTGCAGAAATACATGCGTACTTGATCGTTTTCATGGAAGAAAAGAAGGAAAAAACTACCAATAAACAAGACAAGCTGGTAGATCACCAACAACGACAGCCAAAGAAAACAGTAAATTCTGCTGAAAATGATTGAATCCATGAACTATGTAAGAAATCGCAGCAGAGCAAATGGAAATGGAGGCCGCTCGTAAATACGAAGCTTTACAGTATAAATTACCTGGAATCAGTCTCCAATGAGCGCTTACTCAACAAGGACAACAACATACTTCAAGAACAATTACGGTTCTATTGCCCATAGCTAAACCAAACTCAGAATACTACAACACTTCCAGACTTCAGAGACACTGTATTTAATATGTAATGCACGCTGCACGCATTCTAACCCAGTTTAGCCAATTTCTTCTAGGAACGTGGAGCCTCACATAATGAATCGCATCCGACAAAATGTTATATGATAAATAGATTATGATTGATTCAAAAATTAGTTCTCTCGTCTGAAAATTTTGGATCGGTATTAAATTCAATGTACTGTGTTAGTTCAGGTGAATAGTAGCAGCTACAAAGAGTTTCGCCCATTCTGGGAAGGAATCTAGAATGCAATCAAATTTGCCAAAGAAATTTTCCGAATACGATCCAAGAATTTGCATCAACTCAGGGCATCAAGAACCATATTATGTGTTCGCGAGTGCATCCGTCTTGGCTCGAAATTGTGGAGGAGACTGAAACCCCAGTCCGCAGTTTTCGATTGATTTAATGAAATATAAATTCGATTGAGCGCAAACGACGGAAGATTGGGATTTTTCCCCCCACCAGAGGAGATTAGGGTTTTAATTTTTAAATGCGTCTGATTCGGAAGACCAAACGCCAGTCCATGTTTTTCTGCCCATCTGAAATTTTGGTCGATGTCTTTCATATCACCACGTCCACTTTGCGGCCAATTACCGTTTTAGTAGCGGCACGACCACGCCAAGTATGCTATCAAATATTAAATTAAATTAAATTAATATGCACAGAGAAAGCGAGAATCTTTTCTCGCCCCCTCTATTTTTTTTTTTTAGCAGCCCCTCTATTTTTAATTTAACCCAATCCAATTTTAAACTAAATATGTCAAATATAAATTAATAGATTCATATGTAAAATAATGGTGTTAAAATAATTTTTTTGACCTGAAGATGTTAAAATAATTGACGTATTTATTATTATATTTCCTGACAAATAACATTAATTGAACATAATAAAAAATAATAATTGAATAGAAACTTGAAAAAATAAATAAGTTAAAAAAGATAATAAAAATTTTAATCCATAAATTTTAAATGAGTTGCTAATTTAATTTTTATTAATCTAGTTTTTTATATTAAGAATTGTTTATTACTTAGTTGTTTTTAAGAACATACCGGCCTTGATTGATAAATTAAAAGTTTATCTGAATTTATGACATTAAAAATTATTGGATTTTAATCCTTTGAATTTTGATATCCGAAGTTTGGTAAAGTTGAAAAACATCATAATCGCTATTTATATCAACTCACAAAATCCGTTTACATAATTATATTAGAATGGATGATGATTAAACTATCCAACAAGGGGAAGGCATTAACCAACTATAAAGATTATCATATAAAAATCTTTTGTAGAAATATGTGTTCTCCCATTATCATCAAATAAAATAAATTTAATTGTTTAAAAGTATCATTATCAAACTCTCAAGTTGACATTTTAAGTTGTCGTTCTTACATTTTTAACTTACAAAATTATGTTAATTCGCTTATAAATTTAAAATAGATAAAACTTGATTAGACTCATGAGTTAACTTTTTAATTTATTGTTTTTATGATTTCAACTTATAAAATTATGCAAGTTCACTCATAAACTTGTTGAGTAAAATAAATACTATATCTTATGTAAAACTTGATTCATAAAAAAATAAGATCTCGTTTAATGAAAAATAAAAATCCAAAAAATAAAAACTGATATTAATAAAAAAGAAAACAAAAAATAAATTGCCTTATTTTAAAATTTATCTGTTAAGTATAATAATTTATAATTATAAATGGATTTGATTTTAATAATATATATTTAAATTTAAAATATATTTAAATTAAATTATGATCAAATTTTATATTTTAAATATTTAATTATATACTTTTAAAGATTATTTATTAATAAAAATAAACTCTTATAAATTTATTATTGAAATCTACATTTTAAATTTACATTCCAGTTTGTTTAACAACTTTGCTTGGAAGTCACTATTATAGGTTCGGCCCCGACAAGTTTGCATTCCTATCACCGTTAATATTACAATAATATTACAGTAGTCAGAAGTAATCTTTCTATGCTCCATATCATTGTCATGTTTTCGGTTTTCCACAAGGACGATAGTGGAAAGAAACCAGACTCCCTGAAACAAAACGTTTTACTTGTTACGTGTCAGAATTTTGTGGTTGTGATGCTCCCAACTTCACCAAACTCAAATAGCAAAATTCAAAGGATTAAAATCCAAAACTTTATTATAAAAAAACTTATAGAACCAACTTTTTCTTTTGGTCCACTATAGAACCAACTTATGACAACAGATAAATTAAAACATCAAGATATAGCTAAAAAAAACTGAATATAACACCAAGATATACCCATTTTATAACAACCATAATTAATTTTTATTTAACAACTCCATTGACATCCACACAACTGACAACACATCAGACGTAGCACTTTATTTGGGGATAAATATAATATCATAACAAGAATACAAAGCTGATCATAAGCAGGTGAGGATACCGAGCTATGAAATTTATTTAAATCCGCGACATGAACAGACCCATATTAGATTGCAAATGACACTAGTAGCCATATGGCTTAGTCGTCTGCTGCCATTCGCTGTTCACTGTTGTGCCTGCAGAGAAGAAATGTACAAGTTTTAACAAAACGCTGAGGACGAGCGAATCCAGGCGCGACGTTAGACCTATGTAGTGTGGTATCAGCGGAGGGGATGATATATAATTTATTCATATTTTATAGTACCAAAAAACGTTTATTGAATACGGCCAGGATTTCCCGAGGATCAGTTTTCGTCTTCACATACGCATCATTTTTGTTCAGCTCCTGCGCAAGATTTGCAAAAAATGATTATTATCTTTTGGAACTAGTATATCTGAAACGATAAATAATCAGCTCCCATGAGGGCTAACTACAAATGAACCATTCTGTTTCCACTTGCAGCCGCAGAGCTGATAGGGAAGTTAACTTCAAGCTCAGATTGCAAATTACGATAATCAATTCATCTTGGGATGGAAGCAGAGGAGCGTTTCGAAAAACGAAGAGAAATTGTTTAACAGAACAAGTTCCAGCGTACCTCAAGCCATGCTCTAAGTTTAGGCCTTCCTTGTGTAATATCATGTTTGAAAACCTCGGGGAAGACGATTTGGAATCTTTCAACAAAGGGAACATAAGCAACATCCACCTGATGGTCAAGGTAATTAATAAAATCACAGAAAGTACAGTTATATTCTTGTATACAATTAGGAAACAAAGGCAAAGGCTTCAGGTTAACTCAATACTACGCTGGTATTTTATTTCATCAGATCAATCACATCAAACTTTCTTCAGCATTGGATAAGAAATCCATCTGGAATAGAGTTCAAAAAGAAAATTCCAAGACTCCTAAGTTCAACTTACCGCACTAAATTGGCCAAGGAAGAATGGTCCATCATCAAATTTACCAAGAGCATTCTCCAGATAATCAAAAGAAGGACCTGATACAACTTACTAATCTTAACGGTCCATTTAATTTGAATGACAATCAAGAGTCTAAATCTAAATTATATAAAAACGTAGATCTTACTGGTTTTCTTTACAGGATCTTCTACTTTCAATGAAGAGTACACGTCTCTGATGAATGTATCACAATGGGATAACAACTGCTCGCCAAACTCTTTCTTGGCAGGATCCTGAAAAATGCCTCTCTCAGCATTACTCTACTGATAAGTAGAGAAGAGGGGTTGGGGAAGGGGACAAGGGTCATCAAGCATCAGGGAGAAGGATAGGGTATGTAGTTCTTAGTTCTTACATCAGGAAACAGAGCCGGCCCTTCAAAGTTGGCATCAATATATTTGATCAAATCAAGACTTTCTCCCAAAACCTTGCCATTGTGCTCCAGTGATGGCACCTATATATATAAGCAAATAAACAGAGTGAATCAGGTGAACGAAGTTGGCCAGCCCCGGTCAACAAATTAAATAGCTTATACCGAGTTAAGCACCTTATTCTCAGGGTAGACTTTCTCCTTGTACCAAGCAGGCCTGTCCTGAAGGTCTATAGGAACCAATTTGATATTGTCTTGCTGGCCCTGAAAGTTTAAACGATTCGATCGCTAATCAGGAAAAAGAAATAGCTATCACTATGAATAAAAAATCACAAAAAATGGGCCGGGTTCCAATTAAAATTAAAATAAATAAAGATGCTGCGTCAGAAGGAGACAGGAAACAAAGCCACCAATGACCAAACACACAAAGAAAATTAAACAAAACAGGAGAGAGTGAAGAAAAGACCTTGTAGTTACTAGCAATCCATGCCCGTTGGGCAAAAGGGCACACGTAACTGATGTACAGCCTAAAAGAATGCATAAAGGGAACATAATTAACATGCGACTGATGACAGAAGCAAAATGATAGAAATTTAGGGTAAGATCGGGGGGGTGATCGGATATATATAATATATATATATATATATAATGGATGAACGAACCTAGTGGTTCCGTCGAAGAGGGAGGGGGGATCGGAAGAGGAAGTTAAGGAGGGAGGCTTCACTTCGTCGACGCCCCTGAAAACATCAAGAGAGAAGAAAACATAAGAAAGAAGGTGAAATGATTCGAGTGATAGGGAAAGTGAATGAAGAAATGTCTTACGCAGTTGCCATTGATCTTGTTTTCCGGAGAATTCCTACGCCTGGAGGGATGGTAGAGATAGTAGTCTGATGCAGAATAGGATCTACGTTCAATGGAGGTCTCCACTTTATAGAACTACTCGGAGCCCAGTGAAATCGCAAGCAATGACGAATGCAATTGCCTCTTCTGCCTTTACCCCGATCCACATTTTGTTTGGAGACGGTGGTGGAGTCGGGACGGGCTTAGAAGGTGCAATATAATTTAAAAATATTTAAAAATAAAATTTAATAATTAAAATTTAATTTTATGTCTTATAATTGTGATTTCATATTTTAAAAAACATTGAATGTGAGAAATATAAAACTAAATAATTTTAAAAAAATTGTTGTGAAGTTTTTTATTTGATATATGTAAAATAAAAATAAATAATGGCATATTCAAGCTAGTGAATTTACAATTTATGTTTAAAGTTTATTAAGTTGTAAGTTAGAACACACATCTATATATATTATGTATATAAAAAACCTATTTAAATTAAATATATTTCGATAATAAGACTAGGTGGCTGTCAAATAATAAGGGTGTGCAAAATATTAAAATAATAGAAGGTGTAAAAGCTTAAATCTTATAAAGTCTAATCATAAAAAGAAATATTTACATTTTTAATATAAAATAAAAAGTATTTAGTAAAATAAATAGAAATGAGGTGATTATTATAAGTTAAGTGACTTTTTTGTCAAACACGGTGCAACAGAAAAACAAGGCAAGGTGCACAATTTCATATTTCTTATCCATTTGACATGACTTTCAACATTTAGATTCTTGTAAGTTTTTCTCTCCCTCATCGCACATATTAAACTAACCCCAACTGAGGGGTTGCATCTGCCCCCTTGGGTTCAATGTGGCTCCACCACTAGTTGGAGAAGTGCAGAAGGTTGGGCCACCCCCGTGAGCATCGAATTCAAAGATAAATCATATTCTTAATTCCCCTCATTTGTCAAATTCGCTTCTAATTGTCCCATCAAAATTAAAAAACGAGGGGAGGTAGTTAAATTGATGTTGTTTTGATTTTTTTTCCTGTTAAACAAAAATTTAAAAATTTAAAAAAATGATAATAAATTTTTATCAAAATATATAAATGACATCTTTCAAAATGTCTTAATTCCTTTAAAATCTTTGATTATTTTTTAGTATTAATAATTTTAGGTTAAACGAATTAATTGTTCCTTATTAAAAATGACAAAATAACAAGCCTAGCTTTATTTTTCTAATCATATTTTTTATTTTGTGAATAAAAAAATTAGATAAAAAATCATAACTTTTTTCATGAAATTTCTTTTATTATTGATAAATAAAATAAGTTTTGAAAATAAAAAATTTCAATCACAATTTTTGTTTGAACAATCATAACATTGTTTTTGTAAATTACAAAAATTGAATAAAAATCATAAATTTTGAAGTGAAATTTATTTTATTATTGAACTTTAAATTTTAAAAATTATTAATCACAATTTTTATTATGTAAATCACAAGAATTGAATAAAAATTAAAACTTCTCATGTGAAAATAATTAGCTATTTGTGTTTAAACAATCATAACTTTTATTATTTAAATCGTAAGAATTGAATAAAAAATTATAACTTTTCATGTAAACCTGTTATTTTAAACAAAAAAATAAAGAATAAGTTAGTAATTTAACCTAAAATTATTAATGTCAGATACTTAAAGACTCCAAAAAAATTATGATATTTTAAAGGATTTACTTTTCATTTATATATTTTAGTGAGATTTATTATTATTTTTTTAAAATTTTTTTGTAATTTATCTTTATAACTACATAATACTAATCTTTAAAAAAATATTTACAATGTTTTAATAAATTTTTACTCTTTATTTATTAAAAATTATTCAACCACCAAATTTTTATTAGAAAAATTTTAACCGAGGACTAGGGATGTGACTTAATTACTAGTGAATTTTAAAAAAAATTAAAATTTTAGTTCAGTCTAGAAGGATTGAAGTGAAAATAATTTCAATAGTAAAAAGATAAAAATACCCTTCGCTTGTTAATTTTGTCTAAGATACAGAATCATTAACTGTTAACTTTCTTACTTTACTTCTTAATTTACTAATATGAGTTGTAAATTATATCAATTTGTTAGATAAGCAATAATATTAATTGTTAAATTGCTAGCTTCACTTATTAATTTACTAACATTATTAGTAATTTACAATTAATATTACTAAATTAATAAGTAAAGTTAGTAATTTCGCAACTGATATTATTGCTTGTAATTGAACAACTAATGTTAAATCTTGCATTATTATTAACAAGTTAATTCATATAATTTGAAACTCATATCAGTAAATTAACAATCGAAGTAAGAAAATTAATAAATAATAATTATGCATTTCGAACAAAATTAACAAGTGCATGGTATTTTAGTTTTTTTATTGTTGAAATTATTTTCATTTTAACCTTCTTAACCTGAATTGAAGTTTAAATTTTTTTTTATATCCATTAGTAGTTAAGTCATATTTATGTTAAAATTCTTCCATTTTTATTTCAGTAAGGTATGGTAAATATAGCAATCTGACGCAGGATGCGGTCTGCATTCAGCCAATCCTTCATGGAGGCCTGCACTTTATACGACTATTCGGTGCCCAGTGAAATCGCATGCAGTGACGAATGGGTCCGCCGCCCAGCCATGGATGAGCACCTTGGTGCGGGGTGATTTAGATTTAATATGGCCAGATTTTTTTTAATTTATATTTATTTTTGATATTTATTAAAACAAAAATTTATAAATTTTTTTAATAAATATGTTTATTATTAAATCTAAACAATACTGATTTAACTTGAATTGTTCAATTTAATATTACTTTTCTTTATAATTTTTACTTTTTTGCCAAATTATAATTTTTACCTTGATAAATAAAATATTAAAAATAAAAATAATCTTCTAATGGGTACTGTTTGAAAACTATTTTTCAAAAAAATTACAATTTAAAAATTTTAAATCTGAAAATGGATTATTAATTTATAAAAATTATTAAAAAATTTTATATTAAATTAAATCCTCCAAATTAAATATGTCCAAAATGATGAAGGATAGATTTGCATACTTTTTCATAATTTTCATATTTTTTATTTTAATAAATATAAAATTTAAATAAAACATAAAAACTTTAATCCTTGATTATTCGGATAAAAATATGAACGGTCTTGATTTTATCATCCTGATAGGCACCATGAAATTTATCGAAGTGATGCACACCCAAGTTGAATGTGTGTCAAATGTAAGTGCTCGTTCTGCCTTGACACTTTTTCCAGAAACATGTCCGTGTCGTCTGGGAGAGCATCGAATTCAAAAATAACTTCTACTTTTTATTTAAAATTATTTATAGGTTACTTTTAACTGTTTTATCAAAATCAAAAGAAGTAAACAAATTATTATTAATATTGTCTAAAAAAAAAAGTAATTTACTCTTATTAAGTACACCTTCCAATCCCTATTATAAAGTGTTTTCAAGGAAAATTCTGTAGTCCTTAATATAAGCTACTTTGATGGGTTATTAATGACTTTTTTCTATATTACTTCTATTTAGATTCAATAATTATGAAAAATATTATTAATTCCAAATGAATAGTCAAACAATGGCAAAGTCACGTTCATGTGAGTGGGACAAATGCACCCCTTCACATGGAAAAATTGCATATGTACTATGAAAAAATCACAATGTCGCACCTCTTATTTTTTGTACTTTGAAGCCTTTAGATTCAATTAAAAAATATATTTGGGTCCAAATTTAAAATATATATCAACCTTCTTAATATATTTCTAGCAACAAAAAATGCCTCAATATATTTTTTTCAAGATAGAAATATATATAATTTTGCTATGCTATCATATTTATTTTGCTTAATGAAATTATTATTTAAAAAATTATAATATTGGTAATTATTAATTTTAAAATTATATTGTCCTACACCCCTTTACTTGAGGTGTAAGGATGCCCTTATTAATCTACACTTAACTCAAAAAACTAAAGTAATTATGAGATTAATATAAGAGGATTACCAAATTTGTAAAATCATATAAATGAGATCCCAAGTTTTTAAATTTTGAAAACACTTTAATATACTTTCATAAACCAAAGATTATAGTGAAATATATATACGAAAATATCAAATACCAAATTATATCAAAGCACTTACATATAAGTTGAAAAACCATAGTTCATCAACAAAGCAGAGGTGTGCCATGGCTTTCCTCTCACATGTTGCAGCACAAACCTCCCTGTGCAATGTGTCGTGACACATTACATAAGTTTAACATATTGTTGTTGTCATTTGACAGCAATAGAGACAAACTTCTGACGTGTTTTAAATTTCTGTCTAATATTTGATTGAGATAATCTAAATGTTTACATAAAGCTTTTGCAGAGCTTTATCTATTGACACTGTGATTTCACTCACAAATCATTTCTATTAAAAAGTTAGACATTCATTTGCAAACCTACTCCTTTCAACTTTTAAAATACATCTAAAGTGTCCAATTTCATCCCCAAATGCCAAAAACTCACAATTATCATTCGATCATACTTAATAGACTAAAGAACACATGTGCAATACATCACAGCAATACAATAACACATATATCACACTTTTAATTTTTAACCCCTTAATCACAAAAATATAAGAGGGAGATAAAATGATAAATTCTTATAAATCACTATACTATCCACTTTAATCATGCTACTCATATAATTTTTTTACTTACACTAGTATTTTAACATTATCTCCACATCACAATCAATCATACTTACAACTTAAGACCCAAAATACAACTTCCAATAATGACAATAATAATACAATTGAATCACAAAAGAATGCAGTTTGCTAATTGGCATTATTAATTATAAATACACATAATAATTCAAAATAAAGGCCTACTATTAATAATCAAATATCCTAGGCCTCTTATGCTTGTTCTCTGTCCTAGCTCGAGTTAGTTATTGTAAATATTAAAAAGAGAGGGGTGAATACACCACTCAATAGCCAAAGTTAATATAGCCTTTATAAATGTATGTCAGTCAATTATAATGATGCAAATAACATTTACACAACTTTTACAGGTTTATACTTTTCTTTTAGAATTATTAGCCATGACCACAATACTAGTAATCATGGTCA